AAACGGGTTTGAAGTCTGAAATCAACGTCTTTCGACGGCTGCTGCTGCTGCTCCAGAAGTGTCGATGACACTGGATCGTCGCCACTGATGTGCCAATGTGCGACACAGTCTCATTGTGACATCAATGAGAACGATGATCCAAGAAAAACTGTGGACAGTGAGTTTTTTTAGTGTGTCCTTCAGTTTCTTCTTCATCAGCAGCAGCGTGGTGATCATTAGCATCGGTGAGTGGTCAGCAGCCGCAGCAATGGTCAACAATCACTAGAGAACAATCACGCCCATAGATCACCGATAATCATGAGAAAGAAAGAGTTTGTAGACATTTGGGTTAATTAGCGATAATTTGAGCACAACAGTCGTGCAGAGTTGATTGTGTGGCGGTGCTGCAGTAAATGGCAGTCGCGCCATGCGGCTACTCAATAGTAGAGTAATGGGCGCGTAAATGTAAATGGCTAGCTTCACACACACAATTGCAACTTCAGGTCAGGGCTGAAATGGTGATCAAGCAGTGGTCACAGCAACAGCAGCAGCAGCAACAAAAAATACAACAACAGCAACAACAAGAAAAAACTGCAGCAAAAAAGGAGATGCCGATAATAGTAATTCATCGAGTATTTCGCTGAATTTGTCCGCTTATTCGGGCACAAGCATTTGGCGTGCCACTCTAGCACATAGAGTTCTATTCTCTAGCCTGGTCATCTGTCCTGGTGGTAATCAGATTAATAAGACCATCTAAAGCGCCAGTTCAAAGCAGTCACTACAGAAGTGCACTGCTTTTTTCAGTCTGCGTTTGGCGCACTGCCAGCGGTACTTTTTCAAATGACGCTTCCAGTCATCCTCTGGGTAGATGTACAGCAGCAGACATGCGCCAGGAGTGCCTGTCCGGACACGATATATTGGGCCGATGTGTGTACGTGCATGGCAGCACTGTGGTGCTCAGTGTCTGCAGTTATGCTTCGTATCAGCAGCAGCAGCGGCGACAGTGTCGTACACAGCTGTTTCAATGCCACTGAAAAGTCGGTGTGATCGTGTGTGTGTGCGGCGGCGGTGGTGATAGCAAAGAAGCAGACAGTTGAACTGTTCAGTGGAAGATGAGAGAAGTAGAAACTGCCTGAACTGTGAATGTGACTGCAGTGACAGTGACAGTGCTGCTGCTGCTGACAACTTGATTCGCTTTGATATCTTTGAAGATAGCACAAACAGTGAATGAGAGCGTGTTTCTGAGACAGCAGTGCCAGTACTGTTCTGTGCACTCCTCCTCTACCCTCGGCTGTGAGTGACTTTCTCAAGCATCACACACACGCTGTCTTTTCTCGTTTTCATCAGCAAACAACTGCTTCACCGACTCTTGTCCCAAGCAAACCCACGACTGAATAGAAAGATGGTGCAAGCCAAGGTGATCACCGTGAAGACGAGTCCCTTTGAAGGGCAGAAACCGGGCACCAGTGGCCTGCGCAAGCCAGTGGCCACCTTCATGCAGCCTCGCTACACCGAGAACTTCGTGCAGGCCATTCTCGATGTGGCACTGGCGGGAAAGCCGTCGCCCAAGGAGGTGACGCTGGTCGTCGGCGGCGACGGACGGTACTTCAGCAAGCCCGCCATCGAGGCANGAGACGAGTCCCTTTGAAGGGCAGAAACCGGGCACCAGTGGCCTGCGCAAGCCAGTGGCCACCTTCATGCAGCCTCGCTACACTGAAAACTTCGTGCAGGCCATTCTCGATGTGGCACTGGCGGGCAAACCGTCGCCCAGCGAGGTGACGCTGGTCGTCGGCGGCGACGGACGGTACTTCAGCAAGCCCGCCATCGAGGCAATCATCGGCATTGCTGCTGGCAATGGGGTAAGTGCTTTTTGGAACGGTTTTTCAGGATCATCATTTAACTAACTGCCATCTCTGAAAACAGGTTGGCCGCCTGCTGGTGGCCCATAACGGCATCATGTCTACGCCGGCGGTCAGCTCGGTGATTCGCGCCCTCAAGGCCGACGGCGGCATCATCCTCACCGCCAGCCACAACCCCGGCGGCCCCCAGGGCGACTTTGGCATCAAGTACAACTGCGACAACGGAGGACCGGCGCCAGACAATATCACCAATCAGATCTTTGCGAGAACAACGGAGCTGAAAGAGTACCGCACGCTGGAGCAGACCGCTGGGCTGGTCGACCTGGCCATCCTGGGCAAGACGGTGATCGACCTGGAGGGCGGCAGTGGTGGTCAGCTGACCGTGGAGGTCATCGACAGCGTAGAGATCTACCTGCAGCTGCTGAAGACCATCTTCGACTTTGGCCGGCTGAAGGACTTCCTCGCCAGCCGTAAGATTCTCATCGACGCCATGAACGGCGTCATGGGCCCCTACGTCAAGCGGATCCTCGTGGAGGAGCTGGGCGCTCCCGCCGCCTCGGCCATTCGCTGCACGCCCCTCGAGGACTTTGGCGGAGACCACCCCGACCCCAACCTGACGTACGCCGCCGACCTGGTGGCCAAGCTCACCACCGGCGACTACGACTTTGGCGCCGCCTTTGACGGCGACGGCGACCGAAACATGATCCTCGGCCGGGGCGGCTTCTTCGTCACCCCCTCCGATTCGCTGGCCGTCCTCGCCGACCACCTCGAGGTGATTCCCTACTTTTCGCAGCGAGGCGTCTCTGGGTACGCTCGCAGCATGCCCACCTCCCGGGCAGTCGATCTGGTGGCGGCGGCGAAGGGCATCGCCGTCTACGAGACGCCCACCGGCTGGAAGTACTTCGGCAATCTGATGGACGCGGGCGCAGTGGCCATCTGCGGCGAGGAGTCTTTTGGCACCGGCTCCGATCACATTCGCGAGAAGGACGGCCTGTGGGCGGTGCTCGCCTGGCTCTCCGTCCTCGCCTCCGCCTCTGATGGAGGTGGTTCAGTGGAGGCACTTCTGAAAGCCCACTGGCGCAAGTACGGCCGCTACTTCTACTCGCGCTACGACTACGAGAACTGCGAGGCGGAGCCCTGCTCGGCGATGATGGCCCACATCAGGGCGCAGCTGACGGCGGCGGACTTCACCGGAAAGGTCTTCAAGACTGCCGATGGTGCGGAGCTGACGGTGCACCGAGCCTTCGACTACGCCTACACCAACCACCTGACGGGCGAGACGGAAAGCGCAGGAGGGCACGGCCTGGTGGTGCTCTTCAACGGCGGCGCGGCGCGGGCCATCTTCCGCCTGAGCGGCACCGGCAGCTCCGGCGCCACTGTCCGCCTCTACCTGGAGCAGCACGAGCCGGATGGGGAGAAGGCGGCGGAGGCGGTGGCCGCAGAGTACGTCAAGCCGCTGGCAGAGGTGGCGCTGGCCATCTCCAATCTGGCCCAGTACACCGGTCGCCTGGTGCCCACTGTCATTACCTAGAAAATTCTCTTTTCTTTCTTCTTCTTGCTGATACCAAATTAAGAGTCTGTTGATTTTACAAATAAAAGAATGGTTTTTAAACGTGAAAAATGGATTTGTTTTCCAGTAGTAGTTATGAACATATCACTGTGGTACTGTTGTTGTTATGCTGTACAAGGGGCACTCTTCAGGTGGCAGCGAGCGCAGTGCTGGCAGTGAAACCAGGAGCACTTTACGCAGATGTTGCAGACGTCGCAGTGGGCGTACTTCTTCGTGGCATCTCGGGCCGTACACTCGTCGCAGCTGGGGCAGTGCTGGTTCAGGCGAAACACATATCGATTGCACAGGTCGCACCACCGGTAGAAGGGCTCAGCACCACCTTCCGGTGGGTCATCAGTGTCGTTCAGAAGAGAAAGGTCAATCTGGGCGCGGTTTAAGTTGGTGAACACTCGAACCGGAGAGCTGGCGTTGATCCAGTGTTTGGTGGTGGCTGCTGCTGCTTCAGGCTGCTCCTGTTTTGCTGGCATGCCTCGCTTCCAGCTAAACTTGTGGTGATTGGCGTACTGCACAATCTGATCGGTGAGCAGGACCTCGCCGTTGAAGGCCTTACTGATCCAGTGCTCGTTGAAGTAGGGAAAGAAGAGCACCAGCGGCGGAAAGAAGAGGTGCTCCACCAGGTCGCTCTGCGTCATCAGCTCCTGCAGCCGGCGAATGCTGGCGGCAAGGTTCTCGATCAAGCCGCCAAAGGGCGGGTCAACCACCACCAAGGTGTCGCCGGTCTGGCCGTTGCCGTGGAAGAACCGACTCAGGTGCTCCGCCGCCTGCTGCTCGCCGTTGAAGAAGAAGTAGTTGAACATGTTGAACTGGGCAAACTGCTCCGGCGGCCAGAACTGCCGAAAGCGCGCGTCAATGTCGAGCAGAAAGGAGGAGAGCGTGGTGGGAGAGTACCGGTTCACTATGTGCTCGTGAATGGTCGGACAGCCGATGCAGAGGACCTTGGTGAAGCCGCCCTTCCGGGCGATTTCCTCCACGATGAAGGGAGCCACCGAATCGGCGAAGAAGTACTGAGCCTGACCGGCATTGTCAGTGGCCGCGCGGAGCAGCTTGGTGGGCTCGGCAAAGAAGGACTTCGGGTGGCCGGTGGTCACCTTCAGGCAGCGATAGGTGAGGTGCAGGTCAAAGCAGTGCTTGTCTCGGCTCTCTTTCCCCTCAATGTTGGCCAGTTCAGCACGGCTCAGCAGTATGCAGCCGCAGTCGTGGCAGAAGGCAAAGGACTTTTTCGAGCCCTTCTCCGCCTCCGCTTCCTCGTCGAAAATGTCCAGAAAGTAGGCGTACCCGTCTGCCGGCTCGATGGCGTCTCTCTGCGTGGCGATCTGCTCTTCGCGAAGTTTGGCCTGCATGGTGGCCCATTTGTGCTGGTCTATGCGAAACGAGCAGAAGCTTAGGTCCCGAGTGGCGGAACAGGCGTAGTAAGGTTTGGCCTGGCTTTGTGGAAGGTTTGCTGTTGTCGGTGTCCCTTGAAGTTTGCGCTTTCTGCCTTTCTTAGCCGGCTTATCAAACTCCTTTGTGAAGAGCATCGTTGGTCCGTGAGGGCAGAGTGGTGGCATCAGCGGCGGCGGCGGTGGCATCTCAACCACTTCACAGTTGGTAATGATAATCTCCTCTTCTTCCATTATCTTTGGGAGGGGGGGGGAAGTATAAAATGAGGTCAGCAGAAGAAGAAAATGATCATCACTTACCACAAAAATCTTTGGAGTTTCGGTTGTTGTTGTTGATTTTTTTCGGCGATTTGTTTTTGTGAGAAAAAATGTGATCACGTTTCAAAACCTATCCTTCCATCTGGCGGTCAAAACTAAAGCACAACTTTGCACTTTTATTTTTGAAAATCGGCTTTCATAAAGAATTTGAATAAAATCACGATCGTTTTAGTTTTACAAACACATTTGAACTTAAACAGTCTTTCTTCAAACTTCCGATGTCACTATCAAATCTTTTTTTCAAACGGAAGCACACTGACAATGATGATGAAGAGAGAAACTAACAAATAACATCCTCGATTGACATTCAACAATTTCTTCCTCACTAGCTAAAAAGAAGTTTCACAAACGCTTCTGCAGTAGTGAACTAATTTTTGAATTATCACCTCTCTCGCTCTCAGTTCATTCAGTTGTGTGTTGATTAGTTTAATGTTTATGTTGTACTTGATCATAAAAAAA